TTATGATCCTATATTATGCAACAGATTTTATTAAATTGAATTTCTGGTTTTTCGTAAGACTAGAGCTTGAGAAGTGCTCGCAACTTCTCAGCGTAACAATAGTTCTGGCATTCTGTGTAATTTCAGAGATTTCTGTTTCGTTTCGTGCGACTTTGAACGATTTTGAGTTTAGAAAACCTATAAATTCTCATACACTTCTGAATCCACAATTCATTGTTTTTAACCATTATGCATGCATATTGGCATCATATAATGATGCTATGACACTAAAACCATGGAATAAAGAAAGAATACTGTATGATTGAAGAAAGATAGAAGATTGTAAAAGGTATACTCTGCATAAACGCTCAGCCCGCATATATGCGAACCACGTTAACCAAAGGGTTAAAGGATACTTAAAGTTTAAATGATCAAGTTAAAAAACATAGACAATGTCATTATGTGATAGTCTGTTATTATATTATGTTAAGCGCAAGTTAAGCTTCAACTTCTGGATGCATAATAAAGTTTTCTCTCAGGACCACTAAAGTACCTACAAGTGGGATAATTCGACAATTGAGATTCATAGCGATGATAGAATTGAGTTTGACAAGGAAATATTGCTGTTCTATTTTTTTTTAAATAATCAATAATACCTTATCACATGTGGTATTGTCTATGTTTTTAACATGATCATTTAAACTTTAAGTACCCTTTAAGTCCCTAATTACTAACAAATTTCTCGAAACTTATCCAAAGTAAGAATGTTCAGTAGTAAAATCAATCAATTTTTCTCATTTGAACTTCTATGATGAAAAACACAAAATACCACGAGAATCAGCTTGCCGACCTCCACAAGCTGGTATATATTGTATTCAAATTGGAGACTTACATTTGTCGAGCTTCCCTCGTAAAATCCGTATTAATGTCGAATAGAAATATTATAGATTGACATTTGCCGATGCTGATCGCCTTTCAGAAATGTCTCATCAACAGATACTCTTATCTTTCAGACACAGTCCTTCCCTTTATTGTCTCTTTGGTATCTCTTATGATTGGTTTACAGCATGATTAAGTTTTCTTTAATTAGAATTTTCGCTAGATCCATTATTAAGATTTTACTTTCTTTCTCCTTTTGAATCAATTGCCAAAGAAGCATTGCCAATTGTAAAGTAAATGTGTTACCTGAGGATCATTGGACGAGCACCATTATATATGTTCATATTGGCCACATCCTACTTAATTAACATGCGATTGTTTTCCAGCCTTCTTTCTAAGGGCATTCAATCTGTATACACTGTACGACTACAGATTCCGAAATATTGTATAATAACTTAACAACTCATCCGAGCAGATTTTGCTTTTTGAATTTACTCTTAGATGGCATCTAACATAGTTTGGTTGCAAATTTAAAAAGAAAAACTATATTCATTTTAATTCTATACAATAAAAATTGTGTGGTTTGACCTTTTTATAAATGGAGGGTAAAGTTTCGTATCATAGTAATCCATCCACAAATTGCAGGTTAACAGCGATTATTTACTTTGTTCTTGGACTTTCATAGTCTCAAAATCGACAGTTAAGCGTCAGTGTGTAATCGGTTACTATGACATAAGAATTGACTTTGATTTCATCTTTAATTCGATAACTACGATCTATATCAAGACTCAGTTTAAATCAGATATAGTTTTTTATATATTTTTAGATCTCAAGACGATTTTACTATGACTGATCCGTTGCTCGCTGTTCAAAAACCGAAAAAGGGCAAGAAAAATAAATGTTGCGTAATATCGTGAAATAACGTACGGCTGTCTTAGACTTTTCACAAAGAGTATTACTTATAACATAAATTAATCATTATTTACTATTAAAGCTCCAAAAACGATTTGTAATGAGAGTTTTTTTCAACATTTTGCTAAGAAACATGAATTAATAAATTTATTACATTAGTTTCTGTTTTACTATCCATGTTTTACCGTAATCATAAATGTTTACTAAACGAATCTAATTTATTCTAGATTTTATTGACAATATCTAAAAAAAGGTATAAATACATTTGACGACTGTCGTATCAACGCATATTTCTTTTTAGAAAACATTTGTTGAACATTTCTTCCTCGGAATAAACAGGCTCTAAATACAACTTGATACAACATGTGGAAAAAATTTAGCAAAGTGATTAATAGAATGAAAACTCGTGCATTGTCGAAGGAAGCTATAATGTCCACGACTCCAAAATCTCCTATACTCCAATCAAGTGATACGGAATTTACAGAAACGCCATCTAAAGGATTGGATTTACCTGATGGTGTTACTATCGTTTGGTTGGATGCACGAGCTAATTCGAAATCAGTCGATGATATGGAAACGAAGTTAATGCTAGAGAAAATTCATCCGTCTGTACTTACATTTGATGATGTGAGGAACTGTCTGGATGCTTTGAGTAAAATAAGTAACAAGAAATCTCGTGTTTTTCTTGTTGTCTCTGGTAAATTTAGCACTCTTATTTTATCTGACTTGAACAAGTTACCAGCAATTGATTCTGTCTTCATTTTTTGCGCTCGTCCAGAAATATATCAACATCTAGTTGTCAAATACTCTCCTCATGTGATTGATGTTTTTACAGAGCAAGAGACATTGCAATTATCTCTTGAAACTGAACTCAATAATTATCATATGCGGATACCAATTTTCAATTTCTTTGAACAAAAGCAAAGTGCTGTTAGGGATCTAACATATGATGCGGCATCTTTTCTTTGGTTCCAATTACTTCAGAAAGTGCTTATGGAGACTCAATATGAAACAAGCGACATAAAACATATGATCGACTATTGTAGGAAACATTATGAACGAAATCCTCAACGGCAAAAGTTCTATTCGGATATTGACGAATTCGAGAAGAACTATAAGTCTTCTGACGCGATCAAGTGGTATACACGCCAGTCATTTGTCTATAAACTGACAAACATCGCTCTACGTACAGAAGACATTGAAGCACTGTATATTTTTCGCCTTTATATATCGGATTTATGTCGACAATTGGCAACTGAACACAAAAAACTCCGTATTCAAAACAAAAAGTCACCTGTTTTAAAACTCTATCGAGGTTGTCATATGTCTTCAGAAGAGTTGACAAAGTTACCAAATACAATAGGTGGCATGACTAGTATAAATGGATTTATTTCAACAAGTGTGCAACAATGGGTAGCCGATGAATTTTTACAGCGCGAGTCACATCGTGGACCTGACGCACAAAAAGTATTATGGATCATTGAAGCAGACTGTCGCATCGATGGCATAATCTTTGCCCCTGTAGCGCAATATAGTGTACATCCTGAAGAAAAAGAGGTGATATTCAATATAGGAAGTGCTTTTCGTATTGATAGTATAACACTTAATGAAGCTAATAATATCTGGCATATAAAAGCGACAGCTACAAATGATGGATCACATGCTTTCTCAGAATACATGAAAGTACTTCGACGTGAACTAAAGGAAACAAGTGAAAAAGTCATATTTGGAACGTTACTTATTGATATGGGTAAATATGTCACAGCTCAATGTTACTTCAAAGATTTAATTGAACGTTTTAGTGGCAGTAATCACCCTGATTTATCAGATTTTCATTATAATCTAGGATTGACCTATAGCTTTCAAGGAGATCTTGATTTGGCTGAACAGAACTTTCTTCGAGCTCTGAAGTATCAAAACTTGGTTCCATTGAAACAGCGTGATATGGTGCGTACGTTAAATGCACTTGGTTGGGTTCATCAAGACAGTGGAGCGTTAGATGAAGCCATTGACTTTTATAAGAAAGCCGAGTACATCTGCGAAGAAAAGCTTGGATCTAACGATCTTGCTAATGCACAAACATACACATACATGGCCAGATATTATTTGGAACGACAACAATATAATGAGTCGAATACATGTTATGAACGTGCATTGAAAATTCTTCATCTTTACTTTCCCAAACAACATCAACGTCTAGGTATTATACTTAGTGAAATGGGTGATGCAAGACGCAAACAAGGTAAACCTGAACAAGCTCTCGAGCTATATAAACAAGCTGAGGCTATTTTCAATGATATTTTGCCTAAACATCATCCATGTATGGCCTACTGTTGGAGTGGTATGGGATTAAGTTTTTTACAGCTGAACAACATCAAAGAGGCTCAAAGCCATCACGAAAAAGCATTACAGACATATCGACATGTCTTACCACCTGATCATATAAATATTAGCATAAGTGAAAAAAATCTAAAGTGTATCAGATATGACCTCGTAATAGATAGCTACTTACAAGTTTGCTCACAAGTTTGAAGATAGAGCATTTATTTTCAAGATTTTGTATAATATAAATGGCAAGCAAAATAACTCTTAGAAGAATGTATTGAAGTTTTTCTTTTCATGTTTATATTGCAGAATTTTTTTTTACATTTCTTTAATTATTATGATTAATCCAAATCCATTTGTATACAGTTCATTTTATTTTATTGTAGATAAAATAGACAAATAAAGAAAACTATTTATATTAATAGTTGGTGAACTAATATTACGTTGGTCATCTTCACAGGCTTTCAAGTTCGTATTAATTACATTACATTTTGTAGTTTGTTTTTTGCATGCGACTCAACAAAATGACAGTTATTACAAGAGACTTTCAGTGAATGTGATGCCTAAGCTAGCAAAATAGTTACATATGTATACGAAGACAAGATCGAATTATCAGAACCTAGAATACACATTCTGTATACGGTCATAGACGACGACTTCATTCAGTTGATCCGGATTATTCCTTGTGAAAAACGGATAATTTTGACAAAAAAAAACGGAAGTAAGATCTGGAAATGAAAGATTTTTTAACTTTATTTACAGATTTTACATGAGCATATAAAAAGAAAGCATGATATTTACAAGTTTTCTTTGGCCAATTAATCTTTACATAGATCTACAGTTCTTATTGTACTCTGTCCAATTCTGGAACTCGTTGATTTCTACTCTGCTGTGATCAAAACATGTCCATAGAATACTTAGAACTCTTGTAATCTGAAATACATCATACTATCTTCCTGACATTCATTCAAATTTGAGAAACAAAATACACTTGTAAGTCATTGATACTGATTATAGAGAAACTGCTAATGTTTATTTCTAGCAGACTAGAAATCAATAGAATAAAATCTGCTAGAATTTTGTCGGTATCGTGAATTCTATCTATCCGCGAACTATAAGTACACATAACCATAGATATCAGCTGAAAAAGTTTCTATATGAGTGAGTTTATCATAAATATCAATAACTTAGCTCTTTTTGCTTGACATTAGTTGTTTGAACTATCATCAACAAAATTTATAATGGCTAGAGAATCTGCATATGGTCTCATTCGACTACGAACAAAAACACTTATACCTTCAAATATGTTTTTTCTCTGGTTGGAAACATGTTCAAATGATTTTGAAAAATTCAGAGAACAATTTTGCGCTGAAACTTCAGTTACTCCATGCGACTGGAAATTTTTTGATAGAACAGATGAATGTTATCAGTTCATAAAACAAGCAGATTTCAAAAAAAATATTGTGCTTATCTCATCGGGTCGCCTTGCTGTAGATATTATAAATGACTTGCACGATCATTCACAACTTCACTCAATTTATATATATTGCAACAAAACAGACAAGTACGAGACATGGAAGGTCAATTATAAAAAGGTTCGTGGTGTATTCGACGATCCTATACAATTATTCACTCAAATGTGTCAGAATCTTGATGAAGAAACAAGTCGATCTCGGCTAAGCAGTGCCAGTGTCAATGATACAGTACCGGCACCAAAACGTATGGCTATTAAAATTCATTGCCTTTTTAGGAATGAGATAAAATCTTACTGTCAGCCAAATATTTCTTGGTGTCCATGGCAAACAAGTGGTTGCACTGCATCATTGCCAATTAAAGGACAAGGAACAATTGAAATCTGGCAATATGAATCAATTCCATTTGAGTTACGCATATCCAATAAACAGGATCCAAACGATAAAGCACCAAATAGTTATGCTATCCTATTAAAAGTCGATACTCGTGAAGCACAACTTGGTACAATCAATGCTCAGGATGGACATGTATTACGTGTACGAGATATCACAACAGAACCACATCAAGCACTACAAATGGATGATGACCATTGGCACTGTTATTGGTTTACTTTCTACGGCAGACATCGAATAGTCCAGTATGGAATCGGTGAAATCCAGCCAAAATTCAAAATACTTGAGGCATATCTTGAAGAGCAAGAAAAAGCTAACATTGAAAGCATTTCATACTTACACATTAAAATTAACAACAGCATAGATAATAAAACTATGGTAAGTATTTTTACTTTATTTCTGCACAGTACGACAAAATACACTTCAATATGGTACAAGATTTTTCGGAAAAATTTTATTTTATTTTTAAGTATTAGATCATAGGAGGAAGATCACATTTTCTTCACTTGAGTAGTTTCATATCTGTCAATAGCACACAAACTGAACTGATTTTGAATTTCTTAAAATAAATGAGAAGTCTTCAAGAACTAGAATTCTTTTCTCAGAGAAGAAATAATGTAATTTCATCGTTCTTTTACCTTCTCATTATTTTTGTATGCTATGGTATGACCACTTCAAGGAAAATCATGTTGATGTCATGTAATTGTAAGTCACACTAGTTTTTCGAGTTACAAAACAGGGTGGAAAGGAGAAAATGGAACTATAATCTTCGGTAGTGGTTGACTTTTCAATATGAGGTTTTCTTCGGCTTTGAGAGTGATGAGTAACTTTCAAAATTTATCAATTGAGTTAGAATATACCGAAAATAATGGCGGTGACGTCCACAATATAGTATAGAAAGCTCGAGAAAAAATTCTCTCGAGATACTATGTTTACACAAACTGTGCTCTTTACTTCCTGAAAATTTCATCCTTTTTCAATTGAAATCATGATGAAAAATATGACAAGCATCATCAAAAAGACAATAGGATTTTTCTATATCTTCAAATGCTGTTTCAGTTAGAAGCCTATCCAAGAAGTGTTTCGTGTTGAACTTGTTCTTGCCTTCACAATTCCGTTTAAGCCATCTTTCACTATCCTGAGAGATAGAGCATGATCGTCAAGAATAGAAAGTAATTTATCATAAATAACTTTTGCTTGGATATGACATATAGTACGGAATTCATTATAGCAGGGTAAATTTTTCATATCTATCTAAACCAAGGATGAACATCTTCAATTTAAATGTATTGCTAGTATTAGATAAATCGAAAAATTATGAAAATAATGAATAGGGAAAAACTGTTTGCGCCATCCGCACATTTATAAAGCAAAAACTTTCTCGAGTATTCAATGTGGTGGTACAATACCACCTGACATAAATTCTTTCTGATAATGTGTCCTTTTAAAACAAAGTATGTATATTGAATTTTTCAATTCATAATGAAAATCATATCCACTGTTATTTTATATTTATTTAGGAACAGTTTAAAGACAAGCTGAGGATTCTCATTGGCGCAGAACCGGTCATTTTCGATCCTCCTTTATTAGTTATTTCACCAAGTGAATTCTCACCAACTCATCCTACAAACATTAATGGCATCTTAGAACCTTTAATCAAAAACCCTTGCCGAAACCTTTATCGTGAAGTCATGAATTTCACTTTAAAAGATAGTAGCTTTCCGAATTTTATTCAGATTATTGAACAAAGCATTAGAAACCCAGACGGATGGTGTCACAAAAAACTTAAAGAGAAGGTAAATCAATTTGGAAAACGCAGACTAGAGACTACCTATCTATGTATAACAGTGGATCAACTCGAAAATGGTAAAGTTATGCATCCATCTGTGATGAAAATATGGCCCCCTGGTCATTATAGTCCAGTACATAATTATGGTGATCCATATGGAATTGTTCGTGTACTTCATGGACGACTTCTTCTGAAATTTTTTCCAGCTCTTTTAATCAATTTGCGACAAAATTCACCTATTGAGCAATTATTTGAAGAAAATCAAGTTACATGGATGATCCCTAAATTAAATCAAACATGTCAAATGCTTAATCCTGACATGTATGAATCATGTTGCATCACTATTCATAGTTACCAATACGAGACAGCCGATGAAGTATATTGCGAACATTTTGATTTCATTACTAATGATGGACATCATATCGAACATCACAATTGTACACCTGATAATAATTATCTTGCCTTCAAAAACATAATGGTGCAGGAGTCAATGCATGGAACTGTTTTGTGATGTGTGCTACTGTATCAGTGAATTCATCAATATCAATTTCTATGATTTATTTTTAATATAGATACCCAAGAAAAGAAAACTACCTTATTTTTAAACTCACTTTACCAGTGCAGGTTGTAATTAAAGTTTGTTTCAAATCTTCGATAATATTTCTACCAGTATCAAATTTCATGAGTGCTTGCTCATTTATCCTCCTATTATTGTTCATTTTACAATGAAATGTACTTAGGAATGTTTCGCGCAACTTTAAGACAAAAGAACACGTAGTAGCCGGGATTTTTACAACTGTATACGGTTGATATTTCTAGATCTGATTTTTATACTCGTCAAAATAATCTAGTTTGTTTTCTCGTTGGGCATATAATTAGATGTTACAATAAATAGTTTCACTACCGGGAAGATTTTACATTTTCAACTCTAATTTGATTGTGATATGATTCTCAAATTGTCTTTATCACTTTACACAGGCTCTAAGATTCTGACTATTTTCTATGACAAGTTATGTTTTCGTTTTCTTTTATAAATTTTACCTCTTTTTTGTTGCTGTTGAAATTAATATAACTTACTGCTTTTCTTAAAGGACATTGCCGGATTTGGTGACATGTGTTCAGATCAGATACTATACAATTGGTTCTATAGAGCAATTTGCGGCGTATCGACTGGTATATAAGAAATCAAGTTTTATGGTTATAAATTTCTTATAATCCTTGAGAAATATATATGGTACTCATACATATTATGACTCCTAAGATATTCTAAGATAAACTTATGCGAATTTTGTTTCTAAATTCAATTCAATAGAGTAACAGATGCTCTTCGATTTTCAATAATCATTAGTTTTCATTGTTGCTTTCTTCATACTTAAAATTGGTCTATATTCTTAGGCTTAGGTTATTTCTTTACTACGAGATTTTTCAATGTGTTTGACTCTGTACTACAGAACAACTGAATAGCAATGTGAAACTTTCTCAAAACATGCACATTATCGAGCTCTATTTATTTCACACGTAAGATCTTTCGAAACAGCAAAGATTCATTGCCAACTAGCTATATTATCATCTAGAATAGTCTATATTCCTCCATGGAGGTGTCTGTGTATTGACGATATTCTAACAATACTCAATGGTCCTATAAAACATTTTTATGTATAAAAAAATCAGCTTAACGTCTCAGATACACTAATATAAATAACTCTTTCAAAAACAGAACAAAATTTTGTTTGGATTACAGACCTTTGAAGGGGGTAAAATGACATGAAAAAATCAATGTTTAAAATGAGCAGAAGATTTTTAGAGATTCTTATAGAGGTTTATGTATACATCACACCCAAATACTTGGAACAAAAATGTGGAAAGATATCGGGTGTCCCAGGAATAATGAGCCTCCCAGTATTTTTAAGATTTCCTGTCTATTATCACTGTAAGTAAAGCTGTCTTAATTATCAAAAGAAAGCGCTTAAAATTCTCTACAAAACCA